AAAAAGTATAAGGCTTTAAAATGAACTGCTGTAACCAATAGTGACATGAAGAAGTTTCTTGGATTAATAATTTTGATGGGACAAATAAAGTCACACTGGAAAGAATATTGGTTAACTGATCCCTTACTTGAAACACCTATCTTTCCAAAGATTATGACGAGAAGAAGGTTCAAACAAATAATGACATTTCTTCACTTTAACGATAACTCAGAAACTCCACTTCCTGCAGACAGAATTTCAAAAGTTAAACCTCTTCTGGATTATTTTCTACCCAGATTTCAACTGATCTAGATACCTAAACAAGAGCTATCACTTGAGGAGGCAAAGATAAAGTGGAGAGGACGACTCAGATTCAAAACCTATAATCCCGGAAAACTTACAAGATACGGAATTTTGGTCAGGGTGCTTAGCGAAAGTGAAACTGGATATATATGCAACCTTGAGATTTACACGGGTGAAGGAAAGAAACTGCAAGAAACAATATTATCGGTCCTACAACCTTATCTTGGTTCATGGCACCATATTTACCAAGACAATTATTACAACAGTGTGTCCACATCTAAAATATTGTTGAAAAATAAAACCAGAGTTTGTGGGACTATAAGAGAGAGTCGTGGTCTACCAAACCAATTAAAGGAGAAATCTAAAAATCTACAGAGGGGAGAAGTGATTCTTCTTATATGGAAAGACAAGAGGTTAGTCCGCATGGCGACATTATTCATGACTCCTCCACAGCATCTACAGGAAAGTTAGGAGGACTGGACATCAGATAACTAAGCCCACATGTATATTAGAGTACGACAAGTATATGAAAGGAGCTGATCGATCTCATCAATATCTGGCAAACTTCAATATCCTCTGGAAAACTCGAAAATGGTATAAGAAAGTGGGTTTCTATTTGATTAATTGTGGTGTATTCAGTGCGTTTAAAATTTATTGTAGCCTGGGCTGCCCTGGTGGCGCAGTGGTTGAGAGTCCGCCTGCCGATGCAGGGGACACGGGTTTGCGCCCCGGTCCGGGAGGATCCCACATGCCGCGGAGCGGCTGGGCCCGTGAGCCATGGCCGCTGAGCCTGCGCGTTCGGAGCCTGTGCTCCGCAACGGGAGAGGCCACAACAGTGAGAGGCCCGCGTACCGCAAAAAAAAAAAAAAAAAAAAAAAATTGTTGTAGCCTTAGTGCACAGAATAAAAAGTCTTACAAGCGATTTTTGTTGGCAGTAGCTAGAGAATGGTTAACTGACCATCCTGGTGAACGTAGTGGTAGTCCCGCACCTGGTCCTTCTTGTGGCGTTTCTGAAAGAGCCCCCTGCAGAGACCCACCTTGTCGACCACCAGGTAAAATAAACGAACATCTTCTAGAGGAAGTGATACCCACAGGACTAAAATAAAAAATGCCGCCAGAAAATATATAGAGTCTGCTCTTCCAGGGGAAAGCACAGTGAAACACGGCATATTTGTAATAGATGTTCTGTTCCCCTACACAGAGGTGCCTGCTATACCGCCTGTCCCGTTCTAACGAAATATTAGAATGCTTTAGTAAGACGTGAACAAAGTTTCAGGTAAATACATTAAGTGCAAAAAAAGTTGTTGATATTTACTCAGACGCGGGTGTTTCAATATTCACTTACAGAACAAATCGCCGGCCACAGGCGTTAGTTTCTGCAAAAATCCCCCGGGCAATAATGTTAACATCTACTCAGAAATTGTTCCCAAAAAAACTCCTGAGCTGAGGCACACACAAGCTTTGTGAAAACAGCAGTTTACATATATTGGCTTTTATTTTAGTTAATTCTAGCGCAAGAAAAACTAGGATTTGGGATATGGTGGGTGTTTTGAATTGTTCGCAGGATTACTGACGTCAAATTTGCTACAGTGTCTCATCATATTTGAGAGAAAACTTTGATCTCTCATTTCCCTAAGCACCAAGTTAAGGGAAAGCGGGGAGGGGGGGGGGAAACATCCTATACTTAATACCATTTACTACCAGATTATTTCTAGGTACATAACTGAAAGCCTGGTAGAGACACAGCCTCTTCCTCAGAGTCAGGACCAAACGCTCGCTTGCCACTAGACCCGATTAATCTGTACACAGAAAAATCCATCTTTATTTTGTTTTAGGTTAAATATATGTAAAAAGCGCCTCAAAGAACAGAGGTATGCTCTGTGGGATTCCAGGCTGCCCCTCAGAAGCACACTGCTGATGTGTCTTAAGGCTGGAGACTGTGGGCACCGGAACAAACTTCTGCTTTAAACCCCGGAGGAAGACAGGAAAAGGAGAGCTTGCCTCTTTAGGCTAAACAGCCCTCAGGATGGAGACCCCAGAGTCACCTCTCCCTCTCCCCGTGACTGGCGAAGTGTCAAGTGCCGTACAGCCTAGGGAGTCTGAGGTCAGATTATTTATATTGGGTCGTCTAAGACTTTGTAATTGGCTTTCATCTAATCGTTGGAAGTAACATTTTATTTTTACCGCTCTCGGCCTTGTCTGTACTATATATTCTGCTTTCTTTTGGCTCATGAAAACCTCCGGGAGGCCCTTTGAGAACTGAGAAGCCAGAGAGGGAAGGGCAGACTTACAAAAGGTATACTCTAACCTTCTCGAAGCATATCCCCACAAAGAGAGCGCCAGTAACAGCGATCACGTCGCTGGGGCTCTGCTAATTATCAGGAACAGGATGGACTCCGAGAGTCGGCAGAGGGGCTGAGAGAGGGGTGGGGTCCAGGTCAGCAAAGGCGACAGGGCAAGGCTGTCTTCCCCTGCGATCACCATGGGAGGTAAACGTGGCCCGGTCCCCGATTCCTGAGGGGCAGAGAGAGGCCAGCAAAGTCTAAAAGGCAACTTTCTTAACAAGAAAGTGGCAAAAGCAATAGGTCGAAAATTTCGATCCTTAGAATGTCTGTGGAGATTTTATGTTCATGACTGAACTGGGTAAGTGCCAAGGTATCTGGTTTGAAATAAAACTGTATAAATGCTTTTAGGGACCGTTTCAGGGCCTGAAAACACTAGGGGAATAAGTAAAAACTTTCGTTAGCCTTATTCAGCCATGTCTCATCAAGGCTATTGACACCTTTGTTCCCTGCCCTCTATACAGAAAAGGTAAACATAGTCCCAGAAAAGAATCCTTGGTCCGTAAGGAATCATCTCAGTAGCCTGTGGGCCCTGGAGGAGGCCCTGCAGGGGTGAGGGTCAGGGGATGGATAGGTAGGAAGAGGATCTGTATTTTTTAAATGTATTTTTGGCTGCGTTGGGTCTTCGTTTTTGTGCGCGGGCTTTCTCTAGTTGCGGTGAGCGGGGGCTACTTTTCATTGTGGTGGGCGGGCTTCTCATTGCTGTGGTTTCTATCGCTGCAGAGCAAGGGCTCTAGGGGCCCGGGCTTCAGTAGCTGTGGCTCACGGGCTCAGTAGTTGTGGCTTGCGAGCTCTAGAGCACAGGCTCAGTAGTTGTGGCACACGGGCTTAGTTGCTCTGCGGCATGTGGGATCTTCCCGGACCAGGGCTCGAACCCATGTCCCCCTGCATTGGCAGGCGGATTCTTAACCACTGCGCCACCTGGGAAGCCAGGATCTGTATTTTTTTTTAATGAGTACCTTTGTCTTTGCAATTCCCCGGACTCAAATCCTTTCATTATAAAGGCACAAACTGAGCTCCATTTAGGTGCTACGTGAAGCAAGAACAAAGGTTATCTCTGGCCTAAATGTTGAATACAGCAGACCAGATGAGACCGTCAGAATTGTAATCCTGGCTCTACAGTAGCCACCCAACCTCAAGCAAAGCACTCAACTCTCCCTTCTGGAAAACAGCTCCACCGTCCTTACTCAGGACTGTAACATTCTGTGCTTAGGGGGATTACTCCAGCCTAATAGTCTCCAAGTCTAGCGAAGCTATTTACGTTGGATACAGAAGTGCTAAATACAGAGACCCATAGCAGAAGGCCAACCAAGGCGGGAAGCAGTGTCACAAACTGAGCAATACAAGTGTCCAGACTCGGACGCTTGGTTTCCAGGTCATGTTAGGGACGAGGGAGGTGAGGCTATTTCTCTGTGTGTGTGTTCCCAAGACCCCTCGAATAAAAGAGTAGCTGCCAAAGATGCAGGGAGGAGGTACCCTATAAAAACACACTCAGCCATCTGCTATAAATTCATAGGGCAGCTGGACCTGCCCATCAAGTCCAGACAAATGGCCTTTTCCTTGAGAGGGCAAAGGCACTGGGACTTTGTGCAGAGAAATATTAAACACCTGCCCAAACCCTGCTACTGCTATCCAAAAACAGCACTCAAGAGCTTTAAGTTAGCTAAGTTAGGTAACAGGACAGAGTTCTCACACAGTCTATTAAAAGGCTAGACTCGGCTTAGTTTCCCTTTTCTAAGACAACAGATGTGCAAGGCCGGTTTGTTCCAACAGAGGATAGCGTGGACCTCATGAGAGCAGGTGAGGAAGAGGGCAAGGAGAAGGTGGAGAGCAGGTAAGGAGTGGGGCAGGGTGCTCTCTTCTTTCCTACTCACTTTGGCCTCTACTCAGCAGAGCTTGCTTTCTTCTACGAAGGCTACCACGTAGGCCACTGTGACTGATTTATCGGTATCAGCCAACATCTGCTAAGTTTTACTGTAGCACTTGTTCTAGAATTTTTGAACACCTGTGGCTAAAGCTTTGGTGGCAGGTGAGTAAGGCTGGTTCTTGAATGGGCATCTGGTAAGTGGCCACCGTGGTCCCAGAGAGGCCCTGGATCCACTGACAACTGGAAGCCAGCTTCAGCTTCCAGGTACCCTGAGGCTGCTGGCACCGTTAAAAGCTGCAGTTCCTAGTGCGTCTGGCTAATAACAGCTGGCCGTGGCCATTCCTTTTTCTGCCCCAAGCTGAGCACAGCAGATCTCAAGTCTCTGCCCCACTGCGGTTGACCGGCCACGTGGGTGAATGGTACTGCCTCTGCGATGCTCCTGGGCTTTGGGTTTTGTTTTCTTATCCCAACAATTCTGTAGTACCTTGAAGAAACCTAAACTCTGTGAAGAGAGTCTGTCTGGGGCTTCCTTGGGGCCAAAGCCCCTTTCTCGTTGCCCCAGAGGGCCACAGAGCAAACTCAGCGAGCCCCACGGCAGGGGTTTCTTCCACGTAGCACACAGAGATGAGTGCTCATCGGGCCAGATAACCACTGGTCTACACCCTAAATCCCTCCACGGGGATGTGAGAAGTGTGAGAGGTATTAATCAGATTCTTTATGACCTGGTTCACCTCACTCATGAAAGTAGGACTGTTTTCCCAACCCCTCGTGGCCACATGGAAAGGTTCTTGGATGAAAAGATGTTTCATCCACGAGAGTCCTGGCTCTCTGAGGCTCTCTTTTCCCCAGGGAGAGTACCGGCTTCGTGTCCCTTCATGGGTCTAGGGTAGCCCTTAGGGCCGACTGCAGCCATATTCCTTCCTCCAAGGGGACGGTCCTCCTCAAACGCAAGCACAAGCCTGTCCTGTAGGTGGTTAACCCAACACTGCACATACATGTGTAAAGCAGACCATATGTGCACCTGCCAGATGCCTCCTGCACACTGCGTCGGACACATGGTCCAGGATCCTCTAAAATGTCCCCTGGCCATTACTGATATGTCACTGAAGTGTTATTACTGAAACAGGATAGCAACCAGAAGAAAGTTCAGGGCTGCAACTTCTTTTGATGTGTCTCTCGAGACCGAGTTAATCAGTACTGTCTGTGGCACCAATCTGGTCTGTGTGTGTTGGCGTGTTGAGGGTTTAAGCCCTTCCCGAGCCGCAAAAAAAACAAAACAAAACGTGGTAAAAGATTTTTAAAACTGCCGCAAGAAATACACACTCGTGCTGGCTGGGCCCACATGCCCTTGTGAGAGGAAATGTCACACACGGTTTGGTAACTTCTTGGGAAGAAAAGCTTATTAGACTTAACTGAGGCCAAGCCCTCCATGTGCAAAAACTGCCAGGCTAACATGCCTTGATCTAAGTGGTGGTCAGTACACAGGTAAGCTCATTTTTTGATAACTTATTAAGCTGTACACTTACAATGTGTGCGCTTCTCTTTATAGGCCATATTTCAATAAAGATGTTTTAGGAACAAACTTGAAGATTAAAGTGCATCTGCATTGCTCAGCAAGAAGGGAAGTGGTATAGGGGCCGCGGAGGGGAGGGGTAATTATAGTCTGCGAGACCTGATATAGAATTCAGGCAGATAAAACCAGAGCCATGGCAACATTACTGAGGTAACACTAATTGGGCTTTGTTGGGAAAATGATCTGTTGGTCTGAAAAAAATTCTGTTAAAGATAAATCAGTTTTTTTTTGGTTGTTAGGTATATATGCCGATCCTTCCACCCACAGCAACATTATAGCAACTGGCCGGGAGATCAGAAGCCTGTGGGGCAACACACCGCCTGGTGCAGGTGGGCAAAATTTCAGATTTAGCTTAATCATGTTCCATCCTTGAGTATGTGTGGCTTGCTTAGCTTGCATAATGGCTTCTCCCATTCTTTTTTAGAGGCTGGGTGGAGATAAAGGCATATAACATTTCATATACACAAATTCAGTTTCCTCTTAAGAAACAATAATCAAACCTTGAGATCCAATAATGACGACAGGATGAAATTTGCTACATTTCGGCTTTCTTTAAAAGGGAGCGATCTCATGCACATTCCCCGGGAACTAAGAACCAAAAAGGGACAGGTCAACCAGGAAAAGAGCCCTACCCCCACCTCCCCGAATCCAAATCAGCCATTTGATGTTTGGAGTTGCTTAGGCTCCAATTAAGGCAACACTTTGTTCAGCTAACCTCCATTTGACCTACAGAAGAAGGGAGTTGTTTTTTTCTGGAGCTAGTCATTAGTTGAACTGTAACCAATATTCCCTTGATGGCAAAACTTCATTTAAGTTGAAAAAGGAAAATCAATAAACAGATGACCTGAGGACTAATGAGCAAGGAGTTCTGACCCCATCCATCAGCCTTTCCCCAGGCACGGGGAGGCCGCCAGAGAATCTGGAGACCAGGGGGAGGGAAAGGAGAGCAGGAGACAGAGGAAAGGCTAGGTCCGACCGCAAGATTACCTGGGAGAATGCGATCCCAAAAGCCACTCCAGCGATGATTCCCATGTTGGTCTCCATGAAACTGGTCACCAGATCATAACAACCCTGAAAACACAGAGACACAGTCTCAGAGACATGTTTCACCCAGGCCAGACCGGCTGGGTTACCTCGCGACACTCCCACATACACCCCAACCTTCATTTCGCAAACAGAATGAAAAATCTCAAACATACAAACGGTACAGAACCCCCAAGTGACCCTTCCTCTAAAATCACAGTGAACATATGGCCAATCTTGTTTCATTTAAATTTCAACACGCATCCCCTGGCTGGATTATTTTAAAGTAAATCCCAGATATACACTTTCATCCACAAACGTTTCTGTTGTATGATGAAATTTAGCAAGAAGTCTGTAAGATCCATGAGGCGAATGCTGTAGGGATACAGAAGCAGACTTAAACACGTGCAAAGGCATTCTACATCCCTGATCAGGAAAACTCAGCATCATAAACATAGTTACTAGCATTTTGACGACAAATGACAGAATCTTAGATAAATAAAGTGAAATCCTCTGGTTAGAAGGTGGTGTTTGAATACCTGCCAACCTTATGGTATTTTAGGGTTCTTCCTACGGAGACCATTAAGCTTTTTTTTTTAGCAGGGAAAAACCCATGTTCTAGAGCCATATTTTCCACAGATTTACTATGGGACCTTGAAGAAGTCACTTACCCTCTCTCTATTATGATGTCAATAACCTCATTCGTAAAATGAAGTGAGTTTCCCTTTAACATCCTGTGAAATCTCCACATGTTGTGATTAAAACCAACACCAATTTTACCAATTTCAGTGTTAGTTTAATACGATAAAGTTTAATTTCTTTAAAAGAAATGGTCTGGTTGGAGTTCGACAATGTTGCTAAACTAGTTTTGTTGTTATTCTGGATTATATTTTATCAACCCAGTCCAGGTAGGACACCAAATTTTGTGCACCACTCGTAAGGCAAAGGCAAAAGCTGACTCTTCCTGTTAAAACGCCTGACAGCTCAAACAGCAGGAATTAGCGAACATATATGTGTGTCAGTGTGTGAGTGTATTTCTGTAGTTTGGAACTGGGCCAAATCAACCTAGACTTCTGAACTGATGTGTTCAGCTTTGGAAGACATGGTCATTTTCCAGTTTTCTGAAAAAGGGCCTCAACTTGAATGTATGAAGTCTGTGAAAAATCAAGACAATTTCATAAACAGGGTAAAGAGGATTATTGTTAATCAAGAAAGGCCCACTAAAGTGTAATAACATCTGAGGAACAAGAACAACCAAAATCATGTCTCCCATTTTTAAATTCAAAGTTTAAACATTTCTCATAGAGCTTGTGAAAAGTCTGCCAGTGCTGTATCTTCTAATAAATGATATTTTATGCATTCGCAGTCTGTTTGCAAAGACAAAGATGCATTAACTCCGCAGCAGTGCTTTGACACATGTTTTCAATGCAATGGACAAACTATGCTCCTTAGTTACCTGATGCAAATTTGAAGGCCGGGGCAGGGGTGGGAAAGGAAATGCATTATTGCTCATGGCAAGTTTTGCAATTTGCTTCTCTCTTTATAGGAGAAGCTTGCTCACTGATTTCATTTCTACTAGTGAAACTATATATCACACTATTTTCCAAAAGGTAGTGGAAAGAAAGTCAGTTCGGGTTAGGAAGAAGTCAAAGCCAGAAGAGAGGTGGATATTCCCAAATGGCAGCAGCTAAGATAGAGTTTTTCTGTGCTGGTCGTCGTTCATTGCTGTATCTCCTCCCCACAGCGATGCTCGGGCCAGGGAATGAAGTTCAGACCACCGCCAGTGTTACATCAGCTCAAAATACGGAAACACAAACCCAGTAATAAAAACCAGAGAGACGTGAGGTGGGCTATTTTCTTACTCTGCAAAATAGTTTGGGATAGGTGTTTTTGGTTTTTTCTCGGGGGGGGGGGGAATAGGGTTATTTTTTCTATTTTTTTTGTTTTTGCTGTGAACTTTAATTCTACACGTAAGGCGAATATGTTTTCTAAAGTATGAAATCTCCCACAATGGAGTAGAAATCAGAGTCAGTCACATTATTTTTGAAAAGCCCACTCCAACCAGTAAGAGAAAACAGAAAAGTGAAGTAAGGGCCTGGCATTAGTACTACTGTGGCAAAATCGTTCTCTCTAAACCTTGCTCCTCGCACCGGGGTTTTGCTACAAGCAGCAGAAGCAGCATTAACTGGGGATTTTGTTAGAAATGCAGAAGCTGAGACCCCACTCCAGACCTACTGAACCAGAATCTGCCAGATCCCGGAGTTACTCATTTTTAATGAGTTTTAATGAATGTTAATATCTCCAGATGTTTCACGTGCCCATTAAAGTTTGAGAAGCACTCTTCGCTAAGAAAAGTTCCTCCACCCTTTTTCACTCTAAACAAAGAGCAAATTAATAAATTATAGCAATAAGAGAGTTACTTAAGGTGAAAAGATGAAAGTGCTTTAGCTTCTTCATTGTTGTTTAAACGATACAAGACCCAGGTTGTAATAAATGCTTTCCTTCTCCAGCTTTTCCTCTGTTGTTCACGCTATGGACCCACAAGCCCATTTTCCAGGTCTCGGCCTAGCTCTGCAGACTGCCCGAACTGCTTCGATCCTACAACCCCAGCGCACGTTTGCCTTCCACCTCAAATTCTCCCCGAAAATTCTCTTATCTACCCACAACGATCTCTCTTAATTTCCGAAAATGAAAGCCTGATTGTCAGGCGTGAGATCAATCTACAGAGACCTGCTAAATGTCCTAGGAAACACCCAGAAACAGAACAGGTAATTTGCTCACCCTCTCAGCAAGTCTAAATCAACAGGGCCTCTGATGGGAAACACCTGCAAGTGGCAGGCTTTTCAGTAGCAGGAGTAGCACGGCTGCTTCCAGGCAGGTACTGGGAGGAGGAGGTACCTCTGGAGCTGCCAACCAGAATAACTCTCTTCCTCTTGCCCTGGCTCTTTAAAAAAAGGCAAGGAATTCCTAGGGGGTAGGGGTCGGTCAATGCTGTTAGCTAACTGAACCTGTGGATGTTTGATCATCGTGCTTAGCAAAACCAAAATCAAAGCTGTCCTCAAAACAAAACAATAAATATCCTGCTTAACCGCTCTCACCTTCCTGCCCTCTGCCAGTGATTTGTACAAGGTAGGTTTCTCAGGCTGCCAGGTAAGAGCCCAGAGCCACCTTTCTGTGCTATCAATCAGGGCACAGGGTTCAAGACACTAAAAGATCTATGGGGACTGAGAATACGTGTATTTTATATAACAGGATTCCACAGAACTAGGACATGGTGGGAGTTAATCTTCCTGGGGGAGGGAGTCAGTTTGGGGAGGCTAACCTTTATGAGCATCGACTATCACTCCACATCTCCACCCCATCCGCACTGCTTACCTTTTATAGATGAGGTGTCACAGACTCAGGCCTGGGAAATAATTGGTCTGAGAAGTTCAGGTGGGCATTAAATGAGACTATCTAATGAAACTTCCTAGGCAAATTTCAGTTTTCATTCACTTTCTCCCCACAGAGGGAGCCAGGTTGGAGGTAAAAGGGAAGTGAGAGAGAAGTATCTCTTCCAGGTATTTGAGGCACCCAGGAAAATGTAAAGTAGGATTGTGGGGGGGGGGGAGGCTGGGAGCGAGGCCAATTTGTAGGTTATCAGTGAAGTGAAAAAATGCTCCCCTATCTTTCTGGAAATCACTGTGAGGATTCTAGAGATGCACTATAGGATCTGCCTCTAAGCCTGCTTTTGAATACAAACAAAAGACCCTCCCTACAAGGACCTGCTGCATCATTTCTAATAAAAGGCACAGGGTGGTAGGGTGGAAGACAAACATCACCGTTATTGTCGTGACGTTTACACCACAGCTACCATTTAACCTTACAGTTAACGTTCATCTTGTCCTTTACTCTCTGCCATGCACTGTGCTTTAGATGCTTTATCTCATTCAATTCTCCTATCAATCCTAACGGGCAAGAACTGTTATTCTCTCCATTTTACAGATGAGAAAAACAAGGCTGAGAAAGGTTAAGTAACTTGATCAAGATCACACAACCAGCAAGTGGCTGAGCCAGAATTTAAACTGCAGTCTGACTCCAGACCCTGTGGTCCTGACTTCGAAGCCCTCAACTTTCACAAAAGAAGTAGTTTGGGTGAAATTTTTTTTCAGAAAGAAGGCTTTTATCAAGGTTGATGATTGCTGCCTCTACAAAGGACCTCCTGAGGCTCTGCTGTGCCAGTATCTCACTCCATAAAGCACGTCTTGCCTTCTGTACATTGGAGCATCCACTGAGTGCCAGGTCTGCTCAGCACTTCATACAATGGCAGCATAATGACATACACGGATGCTCGGTGGAGGTGTCCATGAAGAAACCGGAAGTCACCTTGCTGATGAGAGGCGAAGGAGGCCTCAAACTTTGGGTTCATAAAAAATTCCAGTTGGAACAGATGTTCTCTTAGCTCACACAAGAAGCTGTCTGTACTGAACATCTTACCTCACCACACCAACAGCCAAGTAATAAGCCCAGAATGACAAAAGGAGCTTCCAGAATATGGCAACAATGCCTTGCAGCAGTTCTGCTACAGGTACCAACATTACATGGGTAAAATATAGAAACCATCTCTTAACATTCTTATCTTGAAAGGATGGCTATCTTCTGTGGATTATTCAGTAGTTGGCCCAGATCCCATAGAATTTTGAAGACCTTAGAAAACTAGAACCTTGGGATTTCCCTGGTTAAGACTCCAGGGAAGTCCAATAGTTAAGACTCCAAGCTTCCACTGCAGGGGGCACGGGTTCCATCCCTGGTCAGGGAACTAAGATCCCACATGCTGTGCAGCGTGGCCAAAAAAAAAAAAGAAAGAAAACTAGAACTTTACCTTAGTAAGAAAAGAAAATTTACCTGATGGCGGCATAACCACAGGTAAACTCGACAGTAGGGTTTTTTTTCCTCCCTTTTCTTTCAGCAAGACATAGTTTCTATCTGGCATTTCCCTAAATGTTTAAGAATAGATAGCCCTCACACACAGCTGTATCATGTCTTCATCAGATTCTCTGCAGAGTGGAATACAGAATTGATTTTCCTTTCCTCTACCTAAGTTTCATTTCCCTCATTTCTACTACGTACTAACTTTCAAATTTCTCTCGGCCAGTTTTTTTTTTTTTCTCTAATTTCTTTGGGAGTCAGGATGTTGAGAGTGAGTTGAAGTTGTTGATTTCTTTTCCCAAGGCAGTGAAGTCCCCGAAATCAAGGCCACCCTCCTCGCAGAAGCAGACGCTGTCAACTCCCTCTTTCCGCTGAGGACTGGCACCCAGCTGGGAATAATTTCATGTTTCCAAGGTACATCAAGCAGAAGACAGACACCCAGAAAGAAGAAAGGCCACATTCCCTGACATCAGCATCAGGGTTAACAGGAACCACTTGCTAACCCTTCCTAACTATGCCTCGTAGAGCCTCGCTGAGGCACGGCTTTCTCCTTCAGAAGTGGGCAGCCCAGTGCCTCTCCCTGGCCAGAAAGAACCACAAAGGAAGATTCCTGACTCTCTCCAAGACTATCATTTCTAACCTATTTGTCATAATTTCACAGAGACAAAAAAGCCCTCCCCAAACATTCACCACTGAGTCCCATCAGGACCAAGAGGGAGCGAGTACCTTCTGGTTCACTTTAGTGGCGGCCACGGTCAGGTTGTGCAGATCCTGGGGGTTACAATCGGTGTCGTTCATGCAGCAACTTGGGGGGATGCCGTGCTCCAGAAAGTAGGGGCTGGTGCTCCAGTTGGTGTAGTTCTGCACCCCACAGCAGCTCAGCTGTTAACGGGAAAAGGAAAAGAATTAAGTGTGGCAGATCAAAGGCACTGTGGTCTCTGCACCCAGCGCCTTGCAGCTTTTAAAAGAAAAACATGGGCCCAGGCCCTAAGTCGACAGGCACGGCTTTGGTGAGTCAAGATGAGCTGAAGCTCCACTAACAATTCTACTCACTGGCATACCCACGTGAACTCAGCGGACGAAGTGAGTCCTAGATGCCATATTGCGTTGGTTTCCACCTCCCAAAGCCAAGCAGCTGCTCTGTGGCCTGGCTAAGCATCAAAATCACCTGCGTGATTAGGTGCTGCTAAAGAGACAGACGTAGAGATCTACTGAATCAGGACTGTCGATGGGGAGCTCAGGCCAAAATGGTTTTAGAAAGCTCTCCCCAAGATCTGTACTAATACGTGCATAAATGGTTTAGGGGAAAAAGTTGCACATGGAGGAAGAGAGAGAGTTGGTGTTGGCAAACTACAGCCCACCCGCTACCTGGTTTTGTAAATCAAGTTTTACTGGGACACAGCTGTGCCTCTGTGTTACGTGTTGCCTAGGGCAGATTTTGTGCTACAGAGTTGAGTAGCTGTGACAGAGACTGCATGGCCTTCAAAGCCTCAAATAGTTACTACTTGGCCCTTTACAGCAAAGATGTGCCAACTGCTGACATAGAGGATATTGAAGCAGATGGGGCAAAATATATCCTTAATTGGTGAATCTGGGTAAAAAAAGGGGTACAGCTCCTTGTACTATTCCTGCAGTTTTTCTGGGTAACTTTGAGATTCTAGCAAAATAAATTACCAAAAACATAAAAATACTGCTTCTGAAGTAAAAACAAAACAACACAACAATAAAAGACACCCCTCAATCAAAAACCTCTCCAGGGGCTTCCCTGGTGGCGCAGTGGTTGAGAGTCCGCCTGCCGATGCAGGGGACGTGGGTTCGTGCCCCGGTCCGGGAAGATCCCACATGCGGCGGAGCGGCTGGGCCCGTGAGCCATGGCCGCTGAGCCTGCGCATCCGGAGCCTGTGCCCCGCAACAGGAGAGGCCACGATAGTGAGAGGCCCGTGTACCGCGAAAACAAAAAAAAACCAAAACAACCTCTCCAGATGATCCTGATGGGCAGTCAGGCTTGAGCACCTCCAGGCAGGAAACAACCACTTTCCTCATATCCTCTGAGAAGCACCAGGCAGCCTAGGCCATTCACACGCCTGCAGGATCCTCGGTTGCTCTGAGATCGGCTCTCCAACCCCACTGCACCGCCCAAGCCGGTGAACACAGCTCACCTGAGCTCACCGCCCAGCCTCAAGACACCATTTCCAGAAGGCTGGTCTTAGGGAGCCAACTCGAAGTCAGGCTGTCCTACACTCACTGTTCCAAGGCTTCAGATTTTAAGGGCAAACTAGCTCTCCTTGGGATGCTCACATCCTTACGGATGAAAAGCAAACCGGAGGGAGTGGTCCTCCTTGGCACTAATTACCTGGATACGCGGACCCTGAAAAAGTACTGGATGTCCACTGTTGGAAAGGGAACTGGGCCAAGAGGCAGAGAGTGGGGCTCAAGAGCAAACAGCGCCAGTCCAGCGTCACCGGCAGCCCACAAGTCCAAGGCCCGACCTCGCAGGCCATTGCCAGCCCCATCTCCTTCCTGGAACTTACGCTGCGCTGCACGTGATCCACGGCCCGGCTCCTCTCGTCGTTGCCATTGTAATTCTGCATGGCATCAGTGTAAGTCCTCAGGAAGGTGTCCTTGATCTAGGGAAGACAAGGGGCGATGTGGTTCTGGTCCACTGCAGCCCAGATGGACACAGATTCTTACCAACTTCCACCCCAAAATAGCCTCTTCTGAAAGTCTCTGAATAAATGTAGGCCAGGGAGGGGATGCCCTGTTTTCTGAGACAAAAGAGCTCAGAAGATCGGCCAACAGGGTCGTTAGCTCAGGAGTTTAAAAAAAAATGTTCCCTTACCCCCAATCCGGAGGAACCCTGCCTAGTTCAATGAGCCACTCAGGTGGCTAGTCAGATTCGGAAAGGGCTGTCTGTGATGGTTTTCTAGTTATTTTCTTGGAATTGGTTACTGTCTTTCTTTCTATAACTTTTTCTGCCCTTACTCAGAAGAATGACAAAGGACAGGCCATTGTGTGTGGGGCGGGCAGGAACACCGATGTTTTGACCAGAATCAGATCCCTAGTCTACCATACAGGAGTGGGGCAAAACCAGCTTTCACTTACCTGTCTTCATTGAGATGAGAAAAAGAGGCTAAAGGACATGGACTTTACTTGTTAATAAATGGTTAGCAAAACCCTTTCTCCTTCTCTGTGAACACATTTGACCTTGGGTTATCTTTCAAGTTCTGTTTTCCTGGAAACCTACTGAAGGCGGAGCATCAGGTGTGTTACCAGGCAACCCCGCTTATGGTGAAAAGTGCCCCGATTGGTGAAATGACTCTGGCCTTGGACTTCAGCAAATGACAATAATTACCTGGTGGGAAGCTTAGGGCTAAGTATGGTGACTCTTCTAACTAGGCGCATTCCTTGCTGAGATACTGGACGCTATGCCCATTGGACAGTTACAAGAGATGAAGAGACACTATTTACATGGAGCTTCTAAGCCAAGGTGGTTGCCACGCCCAGCCGTGTCCTCTCGTTTCATTGCACGTGCATCGTCTCTTAGGTGTGGGCAGGTCTACACAGACTAGAGCCTGGACCACTTTGAGGACTCCCACTGAAGAAACAAGCCCACTGCTGCCCTGCCTGCAAGCTGTGTTTCCTTTACTGTATCCTCCTCAGTCAATGCTGCTAGGTTGTGACCTATTCTCGTCATGTGTGTTTGACTCTTTAGCCAAACTCAAGACCACTACTGGTGGCCGAAGAGTGGCACTGCAACCCCCAGCCACCACTTCCCTAAATGGTTTTTCAGTGAAAAGCGGTTAGGCAGGCGAGGATGTTCAGGTCCTAGGTATCAGGTTTTACCTCAGCTGAGAATAAGAACGGGGGATCTAGCTCTGGATGCAGTGCCCACATGAAATGGTTCTAGAAGTCCGTCTTGGCATCTGAGGGGCCACATCTGATAAAGGGGAAGAGGGGGGAGAAAGCGCCTAAGGCGGGCTCACTGGGAAGTTGGCTTGGCCAAGCACAAAGGCAGGGCCTGGGAACAGGTGATGCCAGACTTCAAGACCCACAGTTATCATCACACTCGACCTCACTGACTTTCCTGCCTCCGTCTTGCTATTTCTTTCCATTCGGACACATGTGTAGCTGCTTCTATCTTTACCGTTATTTACAGGGAACAATAATGAATTTGGCGAGTGGGGAGTTAGAACCAGAACTGTATTGTAGCGTATACACTTTCCGGCCTGTCATCAGTATGCACATCTGAAAAGTGATACCACGGCAGCTACGGACAGCGTGAGAGCAGCTCGTCCCTGCGTTAGCATCCATACGTTGTCCAAATGGAGCAGCCTCAGTGACAGGACATGGAAGGATGGCCACATGTGACAAAGGGCAGCTGGGAGCGTCCTTGAAACTAGCAGTTTTGATCGCAAAACCGGATTCAAAGTCATTCTCCCCAGCTGTAGAAATCTCAAATTTTACATGTAAATAAAAAAGTGCAGCTTTGTAGGGGTTTTTAATCGTGACTGTCTTCTCTCCTTTTCCCACACCACCAAGCGAAGTCACAGGGCTCCTCGCCACTGGGGTGTGGATTTTACCCCCGGGCGGCAGGGGGCGCCCCGCAGGGGCTCTAGGGAGGAGACAGTAGAGCACAGGCTGCTTAGGGGAAATGCAGCACTTCGCCTTTGGCCAACGACTTGTTTGGCTTGCCTGTGGCCTCTGAGAAATCTTGATATACGGATATACATTTGTGCCTTGCTGAAGTGGCTACTTTTAAGGTATTTAATCTGTATGGAAGGTCACTTTTTTAAAAGAAGGAGAAAGGACTTCCCTGGTGGCACAGTGGTTAAGAATCCGCCTGCCAATGCAGGGGACACGGGTTCAAGCCCTGGTCCGGGAAGATCCCACATGCCGCGGAGCAACTAAGCCCGTGCGCCACAGCTACTGAGCCTGCGCTCTAGAGCCTGTGAGCCACAACTACTGAAGCCCGCGCGCCTAGAGCCCGTGCTCCGCAACAAGAGAAGCCACCGCAATGAGAAGCCCGCGCACCGCAACGAAAGAGTAGCCCCCGCTCGCCGCAACTAGAGAAAGCCCGTGCGTAGCAACGAAGACCCAACGCAGCCAAAAATAAAGTGATTTTCAAAAAATCCAACAAGGCGGAGAATCCTTTCATGCGACAGCTATATAAAGAAATAGAGTGAGGGTCAGCAACTAAGGTTTCAAGTTTGGCGAAATCCCCACCTGTAGAATTTTTCTGGGCATTTCAGTTCATAGTACATGGCATTTGGAAACTAGCAAATACCACTGGAGATGCCAGCTAGCTTCTCTGCATCCTTTACACATTCCAAGACGTTTCAAAAATCCTCCTCCCAAAGACCCTTGAACTGAGTTCTCCACTTGGTGTATACTCACCTCGTGACGAAACACAAACCCAGAAATGCCAGCCACGAGTTCAGCCAGGAACACCAGAGACAGAAACATGGCATACTGCAAAGCAAGTGGACAAGGACACAGTCAGATATGGCGGGGGGAGAACAGTGCTTCTTTGGGCTAGGTCCTTTCTTGTCAGGGGGAATTAGACAAGTTGTCATATTCCCTAGAAGGAAAAGTGGAAAAATCCTCTTCTCCAGATGTTCCCATGCGAGCCTCCATATAAGCGTGTGTCTGTTTAATGTGCATAAGCATTTGGGGGCACACGGGCTGAGGACAGCGCATCCAGGGACCGGCATCATGCCTGTCAGCTCAACCAAGAGAAATCTGGAAGGGCTT